GTCACTGGAGTGCTGTTAAAGACTCCAGTGACTTACAGACTTCAGCTTATTTGTAGACACTAAAAAGTATTATTTAATTGCATTACGGCAGAAGCATAAGTCAGATAACATACATAACAGGGGACCACATTCCTCATAGAAATTATGATCTAAATAGACAAAAGCTAAAGGGAAACAGAACATCCAAGAACCAAAGATGTCTATGATAAGTCCATTGCACATTTTGTAAGAGCACCTAGGTATTTTGGCTTTCAGTTCCTGTTTTGCTGTGTGAGTTCATGCTTTTCTCCAGAACTGTAAGTTTTACACTACAGACAGGCATGGATATTAAGATTTTCCAGAAGCATCTGTCCAGTGTTAAAAAAGGCCATTCCCAGGTAAACATTTAAGCCATACATGAGAGAGCAATAACTAAGTTACTATGACTGGTAACACAAGACAAGGAAATATTAGCAACTGTAGCTCCCAACAAAGGAAGGTCCATATCTGTATACGGGGTGCTCTAAGCAGAGCAAGTCACAGCAGATCACAAGAGCAGCAGTTATACACTTTGGGTGTAAGAACCCTGACAACCCCCCATACATTAAAGAGATATGGGAAAGATTATCGAATAACATCCAGATGGACTCCCAGAGAATGATGTAGGCAGGCAACTTGGAAAGGTCTTTAATTGTATGAGCTCCTGCAGATCAGCTAGTTACTGGGCTACAGATGTATTAGCAGGCAGCAAACAACCCTGCAGAGAGGTTCTGCAGAGTAGCCTGATCCGAGCTTCAGGGAAGATTAGGAGTGGTTATCACTGACTACTGAGAATGATGCCCCTCCACTAGCAAGATGGACATTTGTGACAGGGCCTGCAGGGAAATTTTTCTTGCATGTTCCTGCCCTTGTGAATGAGGTTATGCTCAGTATCAAACAGGAATTTCAGAGAGCTGGCACCTCTATCAACTTGAAGCTTCAGGGAAGATTAGGAGCCACCAACTCTGGTGAGTGGTTATCACTGACTACTGAGAACGATGCCCCTCCACCAGCAGGACGGACATTTGTGACAGGGCCAGCAGGGAAATTTTTCTTGCATGTTCCTGTCCTTGTGAATGAGGTTATGCTCAGTATCAAACAGGAATTTCAGAGAGCTGGCACCTCTATCAACTGGCTATTCAACTGCTATCTCTAGCATGAGGGACAGTCCAGAAAGTCTGAGACATCTGTGTAAAATTTGTGGTAGGTGTTTATAACAGACTTTGTTACTCTTTCAGCTTTCCTGTCTGAGGTCATAGCTGAGGTGTTTTTGTAGAGCAAGCAGAATAAACTCATCTATGAGAAAAAACAGCGAGATCTTTATTGTGCCATTTTCACAGGTGATTGTCTGTGCTCACTGTAGGTATCTTTAAAACAGTGTGCAGTTACACCTCAATCATTAGCCCACTTGTTTCGTTATAGCAACAGAGCTCTAGGAATGAAAGTGTCAGTGTAGCCAAGAGAAAGTGGAGAGGACAAGTACACAGTGGGACACACAAGAGGGAATAGAGGGATTCACCTCAATGGAGAAGTGGGCAGAAAAGTCTGTGTCCATCAGAGCCTGTCGCCCCCCAGAAGCACAGAACCAGGAGTGCTGAACAGAAGTTGGAATTTTCACAGGTGATTGTGCTCACTGTAGGTATCTTTAAAACAGTGTGCAGTTACACCTCAATCATTAGCCCACTTGTTTCGTTATAGCAACAGAGCTCTAGGAATGAAAGTGTCAGTGTAGCCAAGAGAAAGTGGAGAGGACAAGTACACAGTGGGACACACAAGAGGGAATAGAGGGATTCACCTCAATGGAGAAGTGGGCAGAAAAGTCTGTGTCCATCAGAGCCTGTCGCCCCCCAGAAGCACAGAACCAGGAGTGCTGAACAGAAGTTGGATGATACTTTACAGGCCTCACTACAAGGAAGAAATCTATATGTGCCCTGCTAGAATAGTGTGTATTAGTGGATTAAACACATTTGGTAAGTTAATACTTGACATCTTCCTCTGCGACGCTGAAACCAACAGATTCTCACTTGGATATAAGTGATAGTAAAGCTTGCAACTTTCAGAAGTCTGTTAATTATTAGCAAAGTCTTCTAGTAACAGTAGGGAAGTTCTGAAAATATCTTGCCTGGGGAGATAATGGAGTTATTTGAGAATAAGAAAGGCAAACAACTACAAACCATGATATAAGCACATATCAGCCCTCTGTGAGGTGGGAGGGATGGCCTGTCAGACTCCAGAGTTCTCCTGGAGCCCTGCTTTCCAATGAGTCTGTGTTACAGGATACAAACCTATTTCCACAACGAACACACCTTTTCTATACACCACTACACATCTCCCACAACCCAGCCTTCAGACACACAAAAAAGACTGACCTGACTCAGTCACTGAATTGTATGAGGGTGCACTAATTTGCCAAACTGTGTGACAAAGCTCAGCCCTCGGCTACAGAGCATCTCTGTTTTGGGTTAATCAGCTGGTTCCCAAAGGAAATGGGGCTGTAACTGTAATTTTTTGTGCATGTAAGCTGACGTCCTGTGTAACTCAAATTTATTAGCAGATTTCAGAAAGTTGTCAGAGGAATGGGCAATTCAGAAATAATTAAGAGAAAACAGCTACATAGAGGGGACTACCTTCAGCATCTGGCTAAGGGAATGGCTGTTGTTAGACATCAGAGAATATAGTTGGAAGACTGCTCTTATAAATTTTGCAACTGTAAAAAAGTTAAAGTTTGCATAAATCATGAAGCAGAAATCTATAGAAACTAGATTTGTTACTTCAGTTGCTCATTTTGTCCCAAAGGAAGAGAAAAGTTCAAAGCCTCTCTCGATGGGATGCTATTCCCACATTAATTTATTAGTGGTACAAAAATCCTATTACTGCATCACAGCACATGCTAAGTGTGGGACTAAATGCTTCCCTAAGCACCTGAATGGTAAGCAACAAATACAGCTTTTTGCTTAAGCAGCTAAGAGGTTACTTTGGTCCTAAATGCTTCCCTGACTAAGCGCCTGAATGGTAAGCAACAAATACAGCCCTTTGCTTAAGCAGCTAAGAGGTTACTTTGGTACAAACACTGAGGCAGATAAAGGTTATTTAAGCATTCTTGGCACCAGCTCCCTTTCTCCCTTGAATTCTTGTTTTAACTCTGTTTTCACTTTAACCTTGCCCTTCACCTTTACCTTTCTCCCTTGAATTCTTGGTTTAACTCAGTTTTCACTTTAACCTTGCCCTTCACCTTTATGGAATTTCATTGAATTAATAAAAGAGAAAGCATTCTATTTGCTGTCTGTGGTAGTGAAACACGTTGGCTTTTCTTGCTGTGAGATGTTGGTGCGTTGCTAACTGAAGAGCTTGCTGCCAGCGTGACAGTTGATACCACTGTTGGTATAACTAGAAGCACGTTCCATAAACGTGTGACCCTGGGATCATATAAAGACATCTAATTTCAACTGAGTGCTGTCTATTTTATAGAAATAATAAAGTTCTACAAGCAAGAGGAAAACAGGAGCATTTCATGAAGGAATGGGTAAAGGTTATTTTGCTGATTCCCACCCAATACTGTGCATTGTCAGTGCTGAAAGTGCCATGTGCCCATTAGACTTGGAATCAGGCACTTCAAGCTTGGCTGAAAACACATCAGTGCCCTGTTGGCCTTCTGCCTGACTGAGGTGCTCAGGGTGTTATGGTGGAACAAGCAATCTGTCCCTTTAAACACAAGGGGGAGGCTGTCATTCTACAATCTTATTTACACGATATATTTAATTTAATTTCAGGGTTATAAGAAGCTATTGAGGAAAGGCTTTCAGGTCTCAAACTAGAGTTTACGGATCTAATGCACACTTTACTGTAATTTTTCTAGTGTCAGGGGTAAAGCAAAAATATTATGCTTTCTCCTTGTGCTCATGTATCTCCATTCTCCTCTAAGCCAGAGGATGCCAGTCACAACTCCAGGCCTGCAAAGCCACCCTGGAAAATTTCCTGTGAGTAAAGTGTGCCTGCCTTGGTGGGTCCTGACTAAGTGCAAAGACTTTGCCTTTGCAGAATCTGTGCTCTGTACTTAATGAGATGAAACTAGACACACACTAATGCAGGTCACTAAAGAAAACAAAAAGGCTTTTTTTTCACCCAGGTTTATCCCAGCCTGAGAAAGGATGTGAGCTGTGATGTGTTTCCACCAGACACATTTGAATCAAACATCTGTTAGCTTTCCTTTCCAAACACTTGAAGAATCCAACATGGCCACATATTGCACACTCCTTTGCTAATTAAACTTCTGTAAGGGTGTCTCACAAATCAGATGCTCTGTGGAAAAAGACCATGCTTTGATGCAGAGGGAGAGAGCACTGAGCACAGATAGGCAGCTATTCATGTACTGGTTCAGCTGAGACTTTAAAAATATCTAGTGTCCTTTGCTGTTTATCAAAATGTTCGTTTCATTTTGCCTGTCTGCACTGTTGATATGAAAACTAAATTTCAAAAAATAGAAGGACTTTTTGTCATTTTTATCACTGAGCTGAAGTATTTAATTATAAGTATTTTTATAACTTGGAGAAGGAAGCATAACGAGTCAACTCCGTTTTCCTTTGTAATTATCCATCCTTATAAAAATAAATGATAGTATGGTAACCTTCTCTACTACCTGACCTATGGGTAGACCATGCTATGTTACAAATGCAGCCACATAAGCAAAATTGGTTTGATCAAACTTGAATGGAAAACTTCACCTGTAAAACAGAACATCTATGGGCTCTGGGACCTCTCTGTTACCTGCACCTTAGCAGAGGATTGAATAGATGCTGACTTTCAGGCAAAATATTTCATTTTGCACTAACAAAAACATACTCAAAGCACCTGGTTACTGGGATGAAAAGGATACAGAATTGCAAAGTGAATCAGATTACAGGGACTTTTGCTGTGGGTACCAAAATCAATGCCAAATGACATGAAAGACTACCCTGCACTGAAAGGCATTTATATCACCTTACCTGACTGGTGTCCAGCAGCAGGGAAGAGAAGCATGTTTGAGGGCCAAGTCAGAGCAGAAACCTACTCCGGAGGATCCAAACAATAGTCACCTAGGGAGAAGAGTTCACAGGGTTAGGTGGATATCCATGAGTACCATTTGGTTAGTCTGTCCAAAGACGCTGATGCTTCTGAATACACCAGTCAGACCTGAAACAGCAGTATCACCATGGTACCACATAGTTGCATTGTTAACCCAACTGCTACCTGCACAAGTGAGACACAGATCCTACCCGAGTGAGGACTTTCAGTCTGACTAGACAAAAAGAAGTGAAGGAAAGAAAGGTGAATGGATCCTTGAAAGCCTTACAGCAAGTAGCAATCAAACTACAGTTGAAGCCCACACATGAGAGCTCTCTCTTCAGCGAGAAAAAAGAGGAACAATATATCATGAGCATTTAACATAGCAAAGTGCACCACTAGGTCAGGAGCAAGCAAGCTATCAATGTTGCACTAGGGCACCCCAGTAGAACTTCATTCTGGCACACCAAGCATCAGCATTGCAGAGAAACACCTGCCCTGGACAGGAACAGTCCAGCACAGGAAACAGCCAGGCTGAGAAAGTAACTTCAGTGCAGCTCTGTTGGGGCTGATACAACCAGACACAAGCCAAAGGGCAGTTGGAGACATGAAAAAACATTTAAAACTGCTTTTACTGATTTTTAGGCCCACGCTTTTCACCTGGTGTCTGTGCCCAGTTTCATTTGCTGTGCCTAAGCTGGTACAGAGTGACTCAGTTGTGTGTCTGAGCCTTAACTGTATTCCAGCTTCAACCCTAAGGCAATGATGATACTACTTCCACTGCAATGCCAAGGAAGTGGTAAACAACACTTGGTTTAATATCACAAAAATCTAGGTTAATTTTTCATTGTGCAAGTGATAGACACTAACAAAAAAGTTTATATTTAATTTAGAAAAAATAGTACAGACAGAAAAGGATACATGCCATTCCAGGCTTTATTCGCACAATTCATTTTCTTTGGCTTCATCTATGAAGGTAGAATTAAAAAAAAAATCCCTCACGACACACAGGCTTTACTTTAATGACTAGTATTAGACACATGAGCCTCTCTCTCCAGTTCTCCATTAGAGCCAGGGACAAATGGCAAACAGAATCAATCCAAGAAAAAAATGCAGCCATTATTCTGCTTTAACCAGAGACTTGCAAGAAATGCTTAATCTTCTTGCAGTTTGTACAGAATAGCTGTTTATTTAAAAAATAGTGAAGTTAGAAGCTGATCGGGAAAGAATGCTCAATATTTTTAAAGATGAAAAAGATTACAAGTTCTACAGCAGTTACAGTTCAGTTTCTCAACACCAGTACAACATATAAAGGTTCTGTGGGTGTACTGAAGCAACTACTTGAAACAGCTATTTTTACATCTTCCTGAAGCACCCAGGTGAATTACAAAGTACGAGGAAATAATATTCCTGAAAAACAATAGAGTTTGAATTTTAAGGACTTTGAGAAAAATAGCATAATCCTTTCAGGTACAAAGTAATTCAAAAATTTAAATTGAATAGTTCCCCTGGGATAAATGTTACTGCCCCATTCACACAAAGCAGGACAAAAGCAGCAGGATTTGTTTCCATTGGACTGGGATTCTGGTGGGAACGGAAACTTAAAAAAGAAAATGTTAATCTGGTCTTTTTGCTGAGTTTAAGTGGTATAAACTGGAGATAGAAAGCAATCAGGATTGAATGAGATGCTGATGAGTTATTGAAAGGAACCAGATTCGACTCCACGTACTAAGCCAGGCCGCATCTTTATCTTCACAAAGCAGTCCACATCAACTAGCGCTCAATTCATCAACATTTCTGGCTTCTTCAATCGGCTTAGGGAATTTTTATTAACATTTCTCTGTATTTCCCACTATTCTCCAGTAACATTACAGCCCCAAGAGATGGGTCTACTACAGAGATGAAATCTCTGCTTGTTCATTACCCCCATCATCACTGCAACTTGCGAACACACCCTTTCATGCAAGAGAGAGCTTTATTCGTTACTATCTGCCTTCTCCATCCTCTTTCCTGGCTTCTGTACCACCTACCAGGCTGCAACTCATGTGATATCAGTGAAAAGAAAGTTACAGTTTGTAGTGATTTATAATCAGTTATTTGTTTGTTGATTGGCACAGCGGATGAGTAATTTTTGTGAAGAAATTCTTAAGTAATTGGACTGTTGCAGTCAAACCATGTCCTCACTTGCGCCAGTTTATCTTTCAATACATGATCAATAATAAAGTTATTCCCCATTTGTCCAGAGTTAAATTGGCCACAGCTATTTTAAGCACTTCATGTTCAAATATTTCCGTATTATGAAGTAGTGCTATAAGATAAAAGTTACTGATACATAGTCCTAACATATGGCCAGCCTGAAGGACTTTTTGTGTGGAGATTTATATAATTAATAACAGATTGCTCTCATATTTTTATTTCAGTAAACCACAGTGCTGTTGCCAATTCATAAAGCAGCTTCAAGATCTGTTCATGCTGAAAGACAAAGACATTAAGACATAAGGGCAAGAAAATATTCACTTAAGCTTAAGGTCAACGATATGCCATGTGAAATATACACTGAAATGCATGAACTCTAAATGTACCACATTAAATATTCCAAGAAGCTTTACTGGTTATGCTTGTTTAATTTTTTTACATGTGTGTCTGTATATAGATACATACACATACACACAAACTTCCCAAAAAGTAAACTTCAGATCCCTGGCAATATAATCATAAAACCATTCAGATATTGCATGCGCCTTATTCTTTGGCCTGATCGCTATCACATGAACTTTGAAAGAAACAGGAGCCTGTTTCTAATTAGCAAGGACATAACATTGTTTATGTAGAAGGAGAACCTAGAGAGCTTATTATGCTGAGTCCTGTTCAGAGCCAATGTGGTTTTGTCATCTGTATGTTAAAACTGACACAGCCAAGTTTGGTTACAGTCTGGTAAAGCATCTGTAAGTCATTTACACACTTTCAAATGCCACAGTGATAAATACATGAAGCTCTGTGACAATCTGAGGGTTATAGCTGAAAATGAATTAAGAGAAAGCATTCAAAAAGAAGGCTATTTATGAAGGAAACCATCATAGAATTGTTTAGACTCAATTTGGGGAAAGGTGGGAATGGAGAGAAGAGGAAGACGTCTAAACCTTACTTTCAAGGACTAAAGCAGAACTTATTTTTTGTTCTCCTTATCCTAAACAAAATGACTCCTGCCACGTGCTTGCTGGTGATACATTTGATTTATATTGTACAGGCATAGCTGCTTGCCCTACATACATTCAGACAGATAGGAAGTGGAGATGAGTTTGCTGATCACAGAGCTGCCATCACCATCTTCATCATAACTCCCCAAAGAAAAGCCCTTTTTGGGCAGAGATTCATCCCAGCACAGATCTTGTCTACTCATGACCAAACTTCTGACTCGAACCCGAGCTAAGGGTTTATTCCCTTTCACACACTGGGACAGGACTCCTCTTCTCAGATGTTGATTTTAATCACAAGAAGTAGCCTTACTAGCAATCCCAAATCAAACACTTCAGAGTAGGTATTATTTAGATTTACCCAAGGGAGTCCTTTTTGTCTGTTTTGCTTTGAAGTTAAGAATCTCTCACTCTTAACTTTAGGTCTTCTTTAGGGAGTGAGAAAAATGTCCAGAGCTGAATCTGCATTCACAGTCCTGCTATAGCCAACTCCAGTGAGTAGTCCTGATGGTAGAGTTGCAGTTTAAGGTATCTTGGAAAAAGCTTAGGGTGCCAGTGACCTCTAACCTGCTTTATCCATTCATACAAGTTCTAGGAAGAGACTAAAAGAACAGTGCAAGTTAGGAGGAATGTGCTTGGACAAGCAGTCTACATTATGCACTTCTTGGCTATTGCTGTCAGCCACTTTAGGTATGTATATATTATTTTTTTAATGAGCAGGGAAATTGCTCTAAATATTCAGTGCATATAAAAAGACCGTTAACAGCTTCCTTTGGAAGGAAAATTCTAATTTGACAGGATACGAGTTATATTAGTATGTCTAACTTTCACATCAACAAGGACCATAACCCGACTCCTTGTTGGTGACACCTCTTGTCAGGAGAGTCAGGTAATCTCTGTACAGCTTCTACGTAGTCAAAACTTCTCAACATATTTTCAGATCTGGGGTTACGCAGCCTACTCTCTTCAGCTCAAAGTCCAGAGTAGAAAGGTTCCAGTCAGCTATAGCCAGGCATGCAGCCCATAGGTGGGCAGCAACTGTACCTTCAACTCAGCCTCAGACCTGCTCTAATTTACAGTAGAAGAAGTAGGGATGAAGGAAAGTTAGTTAAAAATCCCAACTGGCTTGAGTATGACATGAAGAAAAAATACCTATGACTTCTTGTCACAAATTCTTCAGCAATTACAGCCTGGAGGCCTTGCTATAAAGTCCCAGTCCATGATGGATGGGTTGTACTGCCTTCATGCTTTTATCAAGGGACTAGAAAAGAGTAGACATCCTTTTTGTTTTATCTGCTCTGTCGTCTCATTAATGGCCCTATTTTACTATAAATCGAATGTCACAGTGAGCCTGAATGTATACCCAAGCTTTGGACATTTTTCTCACTCCTTAGAGGAGATCTAAATCTATCTGGGCACAGTTTGCTGAAATGCTGCTGGGAAAAAAGATGCCTGAAAGAAAAAAAAAGAGCAAAATCAACTGCAATAAAGAAGGCTGAACCTGCACAGATGAGCAAGAATATTTGATCCGAGTTAATGTCTTCCTCATTGTTTTGCATCTTTAAAAATTGATCACTAACAAGCAACAAACATCAACTATGTAGCTCAAGCCATGACATATCCATGGTTTATATTTTGAAGACTGAAGTATTTACAGCTCCTGCACAAACTAAAAGTATGCTTCCATGACAGTAAAATAATTACAGCCCATAAATTGGGTACTATCACTTTCTGCTCAAGTGCCTTCATGGTGGATTCACCTAAGCCATTTTATTTCACATTTGTGACTGACTACGCACACGCCTGTTCAGCTTATATTTCAGATATGCAGGAGCCTT